TATCAATTTTTGTATTTTTTGTCACATGAAAGATATTTTGGTAAATGATGATTTAAACTAAATATATTTTCAGTTTCAAAAGTATATTTCATTGAGCTTCACCATTTACGACATATAGTTAGCATATATTTTAAATATTTTGGTGAGGGAAAAAAATTTTGTTTTGTCGTATGGATCTTCAAAATATCTTCTTTTATATTTCATAATGAAAGTCAATGGGAACCGAAATGTTTTGGTTAGCAATCTTCAAAATATATTCTTTTATGTTCATCAGAAGAAAGAACGTAATGAAAGTTTAAAACGGCATGAGGGGGAGTAAATGACAGAATTTAAATTTTTGGGAGAACTATTTCTTTAAATACTTCATTTTATTTATTTCAAAATATCACATCAATGATATTTTGAATAAGCCAAATAAAAGACAAATAAAACCTAAACCTGAATATTTCCTGTCTCTATGAACTCAATCTGTGCTTGCTGTTTTTCAGAAGAATGAGTACTTGTTCGCTGTGGTGAAGGAGGATGTCAATCAACTCCTGCTTGGCATGCGTTTCTCTAAAGAGAAAGTGCATCTCATCTATCAGGGCTCAATGGGGAGGGAGCGTCTCAGCTTTAAAAGAATCCGCCTGGCGGACAACCGCTGGCACAGCATGGTGTTAGCCGTCAGTGGTCACCATGCCACTCTCACCCTGGACTGCGGCATCCCACTGGAACTGTGAGTCTGTGATGGCTTATAGATGACCTCAGAGCTAAATTTTGTTTTTTGGTTACAATTTCTTGGCCAAAATGTGCACATACGCTTGCACTCTTGAATTCTTGAACAATTAGATAAATTAAATGCAAATTTCATTTTATTACATAGTAGTATTAAAAATAGTGAAGCAGTATCTTTCCAAACCACAAAAATACATTCAGAAACAAAATATAATGTTGCATCTCAAAGTTGAGGTCTGTGAGTAATGTACTTTCCCTGATGGGTTTCAGGATCCATAAACAGCCATTTCCCTCTGATCTCAGCACTGATGGCTCTAGATTTCACATTGGAAGTCGAAGGAAGTGGAAAGGCCTGTTCTCTGTAAGCGTTGGATTCTGATATTGCTATTTAATTTGCATTATTTAAAATATATTAGCATACACACAAACATACCTGTCGGTATGATCTGTCTTCTTTCTTAAGGGTTTACTGCGGCAGCTCGTCCTTTTGCCTGGATCAGACGCAACGCCACATGTTTGTCCTTCTTTCAAACCATCATTGGTTGAGCTTTCCATCCCTACAATCCTGTCAAACTTGCCAGTGAAATCCCAACTGAACGACGTCCTGCTTCCTCCATACGGTAAAACTAAAAGATTTTAATTCAAATGATGTTGAGGTTAAATATAAACATCTTGAAATAACAACAAATATAAATATATTTAAAAACAACAACAACAATAATAATAATAAATAAATATAACATTAAATTCAATAATTAAAAAAATAATACAAATATAAATTAAAAATTTCAAACCCATATGAATAGAACACAATTAAATTTTCAACAATTATAGAGGTTGCCATCAATGAATAGCATCTTAATTTTGGTCCGTTTGGCACACAAAGGCATTATAAAATTATATTATATTATTAAAAGAATAACTGATATTATTTAAAAAGTCTTGTGTTCTATGACAATAGAACTATGGACTATTAAACATTTAAACTGAGATATTTAAAGGTCCCCTGAAATGCTTAGAAACACCAGCTTTACTCTATGTGTTGACGTCATTTTAACTGAAACAGGAAGACGATGTCAAAAAAAAATCGTTGAGCCGTTTTGGCAGAAGTGAGGAACTGCAAGCTTTGAATGCTTATATATTCTAAATGAGCACACTGCCTTATAACCTTAAGACTAACATATTGATACTAACACCCAAAAAAAAAAAAAAACCTTTAATTTTGATTCCATGGGGACTTTAAAAGAAAATAAGCTATTTAAACAGTGCATCCAGAAAGTATTCACAGCGCTTCACTTTTTGGACATTGTTATGTTACAGCCTTATTCCAAAATGGATTAAATTCATTATTTTCCTCAATTCTACAAACAATATCCCATAATGACAACATGAAAGAAGTTTGTCTGAAATCTTTGCAAAATTTATTAGAAATAAAAATGGAAGAAAAAAAAAAAAAAAGTCACATGTACATAAGTATTCACAGCCTTTGCTCAATACTTTATTGAAGCACCTTTGGCAGCAATTACACCCTCAAGTCTTTTTGAATATGATACTACAAGCTTGGCACACCTATTTTTGGGCAGTTTCTCACATTCTTCTTTGCAGGACCTCTCAAGCTCCATCAGGTTGGATGGGGAGCATCGGTGCACAACCATTTTCAGATCTCTCCAGAGATGTTCAAGAGGGTTCAAGTCTGAGCTTCGGCTGGGCCACTCAAGGACATTCACAGAGTGGTCCGTAGCCACTCCTTTTTTATCTTGGCTGTGTGCCGTCGGTGCACAACCATTTTCAGATCTCTCCAGAGATGTTCAAGAGGGTTCAAGTCTGAGCTTCGGCTGGGCCACTCAAGGACATTCACAGAGTGGTCCGTAGCCACTCCTTTTTTATCTTGGCTGTGTGCTTCGGGTCATTGTCCTGTTGGAAGATGAACCTTCGCCCCAGTCTGAGGTCCAGAGCACTCTGGAGCAGGTTTTCTTAAAGGATGTCTCCGTACATTGCTGCATTCATCTTTCCCTCAATCCTGACTAGTCTCCCAGTTCCTGCTGCTGAAAAACATCCCCACAGCATGATGCTGCCACCACCATACTTCACTAGGGATGGTATTGGCCAGGTGATGAGCGGTGCCTGGTTTCCCCCAGACATGACGCTTGCCATTCAGGCCAAAGAGCTCAATCTTTGTTTCATCAAGTCTGAGCATCCTTCAGGTGCCTTTTGGCAAGCTCCAGGTGGCCTGTCATGTGCCTTTTACTTCTGTCTGGCCACTCTACCATACAGGCCTGATTGGTGGAGTGCTGCAGAGATGGTTGTTCTTCTGGAAGGTTCTCCTCTCTACGCAGAGAAATGCTGGCGCTCTGTCAGAGTGACCATCGAGTTCTTGGTCACCTCCCTGACTAAGGCCCTTCTCCCCTGATCGCTCAGTTTGGCCTGAGTCCTGGTGGTTCCAAACTATTTCCATTTACGGATGATGGAGGCCACTGTGCTCATTGGGACCTTCAATGCTGCAGAAATGTTTCTGTACCCTTCCCCAGATCGGTGCCTCGATACAATCCTGTCTCAGAAATCTACAGACAATTCCTTGGACTTCATGGCTTGGTTTGTGCTCCAACATGCACTGTTAACTGTGCAGGTGTGTGCCTTTCCAAATCATGTCCAATCAACTGAATATACCGCAGGTGGACTCCAATCAAGTTGTAGAAACATCTCAAGGATGATCAGTGGAAACAGGATGCACCTGAGATCAATTTTGAGTGTCATACTTATGTACATGTGATTTTTCCATTTTTTATTTGTAATAAATTTGCAAAGATTTCAAACAAACTTCTTTCACGTTGTCATTATGGGGTATTGTTAGTAGAACTTTGAGGAAAATAATGAATTGAATCCATTTTGGAATAAGGCTGTATCATAACAAAATGTGGAAAAAGTGAAGCGCTGTGAATACTTTCCGGATGCACTGTATCAGCCCAGCCAATGCTAACACCGAGTTACACTGAACCATTACAAAAAAATTATTGTATCATGACTGGAGCCATGGACAACATTTTGAAGAAAATAACAGATCTGTGGTGTGAAAGACCACATCAATGACACATCACCTGTGGTCGGATTGAGTTATGGTCCCAAACTAAACATCTGACACTTGTTACGCTCTGAAAAGGAAAACAGAGGCTCTGCCGCTTGCAGTGAGAGCTGTCAGTGATTGAGTGGGTGCGGGTTTACGCTGGCACACATCTTGGGCATGACAAACAATACTGTGTTTATATCACTTGTATTGACAATTTAAATGAGCTAATGGCAGCTTTGATCTAGATTACATACCTTGGATAATACTTTAACACCCTCACAGCCTGAGCTGACTAGACAGATTGTTTCGCTTGTGATGAAATGCTGAAACACTTGTTTCATATCCATATTCTTTTGATGAGGTATATCCATTACAAATAGTCATCCAATTTCATTAACGTATCAAAAAATATATTTTAATAATCCATTAATCACAGATTTCATCAAATACAATATATTTTAATGTCATTCAAAAAGTAATATTACTTTAATGTAAACATATTTGCTCTGTATGTTTGCATTTTTATTTCAGAGACGGAGGTCCGTGTGACTCTGGGGTCTAAACCAGCATGCACTTCGGCAGAGGAGGGACAACTCTGGTTTGACACTCTTAAAAGAGGCCTTTTCCTATGTGATGGTGCATACTGGCACTCTATGCTGCAAGGTAGGAAGCTAAAGATCACTTTTTTTATTATTATTTTAGGTTTAAAATAAACTTTAACTTTTTATAAAGTTTCAACATAACTATGACCTGTCAAGTCAATTTCATGGGTATAGTTTGATATACTTATTGAACACACACACGCATGCGCGCACACAATTTTTTTCCCATGCTATATATATAGTATATTTGGCTTTACATGAGTGTACTGTATGTATCCAAATAAAGCTGGATTTTTTTTTATATACATACTGTATCTATACATAGAGCTCTATGATAGAGTTTTTCAAAAGTCTAAATCACGCAACAGAGATTTGAGTCCGCCATTTTAATTTAGAAAAATCATGTTCCATTTACATTTAACATGCCATATTTAAATCTCATATCTTATAATTATTCACTACCATAAGCATAATGGATCAGTCCCTTTACCAAAAAGTACTGTGACAGTGGTGATGATATCAGAGAGTAATACAATGGTATTTTATGATTACCATGAAAAAACCCTGGGGATGCTTTTTTGACACCTTTTTGTTTGTGTTATGTCAGCTGAAGTCTCAGCAGCTCTATTTAATGCTATTCAATCTACAGAGAAAGACAGACTAGACTATGTAGATGATTACCAGGACCTCTACACCACCTCAGAGACGCTGGACATTGAGCTCTTCCAGATTCCCTCTGTTGGGCTGTTTGCTGCTATGGCTCATCGGGCCAACAAACCAGGTTCTGCCATCTACCGCTGGAACCATGGCCAATTCCAGCTCTACCAGAACATCAGCACCTTTAAGGCCCAGGCATGGAAGCAATTCACTATAGGGAGGAAGGTGAGAAAAGACAATAACGTTGTCAAAGTCTAAAACTTTCAAGTGGTACAGCTGTCAGCGAATATAGAGTTGAGACATATTAATCATTTCAATTTAATCAGATTTTTACAATTCTTTTAAAACCAAAGTGTCTAATAATAAAAAAAGAGAAAGTCCTAATTTCATTGTACTGATTTTGATTTGGCAGGTTTTTCAAGAAAAAAAAAATTTAATTTGAATTTCAGCATTTTGGTTGTTTCTTTACTACAATCTTCGGACAGTTATATCACCTAGCCATTTTTTAATTGTAATTTTTTTCTGTGTGTTTTAATAATAATTGCGTCTTATAAAAACTTGATAGAACAGAAAAAAAAACCGATGTGGAAAATACTACTACAAAAATATCACATTAATGTCTAAGAAATTTAAACTGTAAAAAGGTCAAAGCAAAAATGACAAACAAGTACAAAAATCTATTTTAACTAAGAAATTGAAACTAAAAGATGTGTATTCAAGTCACATTTTTCACTCTCATTCTTCATTATTTTTACTTTTTTAAAAGCTAAAACAATTGCTTTTTAAAATGACTATAGGTTAGAATATATAAAAAACAATGAGAAACAATTACAAAAATATCATCATTAATTTCAACTAAGAAATTAATGTAAAATGTTTATTGAAGTCACAGTGTTAAAATAAATAAATAAAATATATGAATAAAAACAAAAACAATAAGGGTCACATCAATGATATAGAAACACATTAAACAGAGGACTTGAATTTGCAGTTAAACAGGCAAAGGTTGTACAGAGAGCAGTGATTGGCACTTCATTAGGTAAGAATTACTGGCAGAAAAGGCCTGAGGTGAAATGTTAAGGGAGACTTACAGTCAGGAATGAGGTAAGGGGCAGGTAAGAACTGAGACTGGGTTTAGAGATACACTAGACGTGGTTCAGTACCATAAGTGTGATCTTTTCCATTCAATCATGCACAGAGCCACAGAGAACAGACTTTACACTGCACTGCAGGAGACAGGTGTGTTTTGATGTGGTGTTTCTTACACTCAGTACAAACGTATGCAATAACTTTAAATCACTAGTGTAGTCAATCACAGAAATTAATTTCAAGTCTGATGCTTTCCCTTCCCCGAATGAATCATTTATACACATCTGTCTGTCTGCAGTGGAATGGTTTAGTCTTAATTATATCACACAGATCTTGAATTATAAAGACTAGGAAGTAATAAAAGTTCTTTGTTGAAACCTGCAGCCCCTTACGACTATTATCATCATCATTATATCACAGAGTTTGTATTTGTATCAGTTAAAACATCACTAAACTCTTCGCCTGAGTGAAATTATGACTCATACTAGGCTATATAGTACAGTATATCTACCACCTGATCTTCACACTGTTCTAAATTTAGTGAGCTGGATTCATGATAGCCAAATGACGGGCTGACTGATAAGTGTAACTCTATCTCTGTTTGTCTGTATCAGGCTCATTTATCACTGTGTGTGTTGTATGTGTGCCAGATGTTCTTGGCGGTGTCGAACTCCGTGGGCCCAGCGGACGGAGAGCGAGAGCTGTCTGTGATCTATAGGTGGAGTAATAAGAGGATGAAGTTTGTGCGTTATCAGACCCTGGAGACGCACAGCGCTCGTGACTGGGAGGCCTTTCATATTAATAATGAAGCTTTTTTAGCTGTGGCTAATCACCGAACAGGTTGGTCCAACAATGGTGTACTAAGGCTGAACCAAGTGATTCCTTGGTGCCTACTAGGCTAATACATAACTGCCCTAAAATACTGCTAAATGCTTCTCAGTTCACCCCACACCATAAACGTTTGCTTCAAAATTAAGATTCGTTCTCACCGTCATGTCTTTCCAAGCCCATATGACTTCCTTTCTTCTGTGTATCAAAAAAATATATATATATTTGATATTTGAAGATATTTTTGCTATACAATGAAAGAATATTGTATGGAAGCCTGTTCCATCACAGAATTAAAAAAAAAATGTAATTGCAAATTTTCATCTCACAATTCTGAATTTTTTCTCACAATTTTGAGTCACAAGTGTGAGATATAAACTCTGACCTCTGAATACTGGCTTACTATCTTGCAGTTAGGCATTTGTATATCACAATTCCGACTTTTTTCCCCTCTCTGAATTCTGAGTTTACATCTCGCAATTCTTTAGAAGCCCATTTCCGCCATGGAAAAAATTAATTAATTAATAAAAGTAACTGCGACTTTTAATCTCACAATTATGACTATTTTCTCAATTCTGAGTTCATATTTCATTACTCTGATTTTTTTTTCTTGCAATTCTGAATTGCGAGACATAAACAGAATTGCAAGATATAAACTCAGAATTAGATATAAACGCAATTCTGAGAAGAAAAGCCAGAATTGTGAGATTAAGAAGTCACAATTACCTTTTTTTTATTTTTATGGTGGAATAAAAAAAAACATAATTGTGAGATGTAAACTCGGATTTCTGAGGGAAGAAAGTCGAGATATAAAAATCTGCGAGATATAAAAAATATAAATTGTGAGATGTCAAAGTGCAACTGCATGAAAAAGTTCTGTTTATATCTTCCAAAAAAAAGTTTGCATCTCGCAACTACACTTTTGTTCTCTCCCTCAAAAACTATTTTTTCCTCTATTTGTGATCAAATAAATACAGTCTTGGCTAGCATAAGAGACTTCTTTCAAATACATAAAAACAACTTAATTATTTTGACTGTTAGTGTATAAGTTTGGAGCCTCTGATGCAGTTCAGTAGATGGTATCAGCATTTAATTTTGTTACTGCTCTTAAAATAGGTGCCATTAGTTACATTTATTATCATTTCAAACCCTTACCTTATGTTCCTGTCATCCCTTTCAGAGAATGGCAATCACAACATTGACAGCGTTGTTTATAAGTGGAACCCAGGCACTAAGACATTTGAGATAAACCAAACCATCTCGACATCAGGAGCTTATGACTGGGAGTTTTTCACCGTTGGGCCCTACCACTTCCTAGCAGTGGCCAATGCATTTGATGGGACCTCCACCCAAACAGATTCATCCATCTACATCTGGCTTGGTGGAGCCTTTCAGCTTTTTCAGACTATAAGGGTGAGTTTAGAAAGCATTTCATTTCAAAATGCCTGTGATGGATGCAAGATTCTGGAACTTTCTGATAGCTTAAAATCAAATGGATCATTCTGAAACTTGATGATCATTTAGAACTTGTTTACTTTGAATGGAAACACTGGTGTACATGAGGTACATTTCTCTCCTGAGTTGCACATTAAGAAATATATTACAGGTAAACGAAGTGGAAAATCATGACACGCACATGAAAAAAGATGAATGATGGACTCATGTAGGTGTTTCCCAGTTGCAACGTTTTTTTTTTTTAATGTACCCGACACCTGTTCTCCCAGAATCACCTTGGGGCATCTATAGTATAGCTGGGGTTGTTTAAGTATAGGGTGAACAGAAGCTTTAACCGCCGTAAAAGACCCTGAACCGCTACTAAAGAGAAATCCTGTTATCACAAACTTTTCATTCTTCACTGCAAATGATTTCACTAAAAATATAATATATTTTTACTTAATCAAAAGGAAAAATGAGAAATAGAATATGTCTGTTCATGTGTACTGGGCTTAGAAAGGTGATTTCTGATAAATAACACTTACAGTAAAGGAACAATTCTTTTTTCCATTAAACCTAGGAAAGCTTAGGCACATATTGTTGTTTTTTTAAATACAACTGAAGTGGATGGTAAAACTCCAAAATCGAAAAACTTCCAAGCCTTAAAATGAATAAAAGTAGTCTAAACGATTTGATGTTCAAATTGACAATATAAGTCACCATCCATTTTCTTTGTAATTGCAGCTTGGAAAAATCTTTTTTGTTTCACAGAGAAAATAAAATTGGAGTAATAATGGCAGAATTTCTTTGGAGAACTATGCCTAAAATTGGTCGAATATTATTGAATATAAAAAATTACTAAAATCAGCAATCGGAAGTGAGATGAAAATGTAATGGCTTCTTTCATTCAAGTCTATAAAAATGTTACAAGTTTTTTTTTTATCATTGTTGAATTTTCTCTAAATCACAAGTACATGTCAACAGACTTAACAAGGCAGACTCACCGCTTGTGATGTTGTCAGCCGTTTCAGAAGGGAATTTCCCAGTGTGCAGATGTGTTTTACAGGGGGAAAGAAAAAGAACAAGAGTTTTTTGTTAATATCAAGTGTTTAGATGATGTTACACTATAATTAAATTCTTGAGATCTTACCATCTAACAAAATCAAAGTCATACATCACAGTGATGTGATATGGATCTCATGAAGTTGTGGATGCAGTCAGTGTCAATTCGGCAGGACTGTGTTTTTCCAAAATACCTAGTATTAACCTAGTATAGAAATACTTTTGAGGTTTAAAGGGGTCATGATTCTATTTTAAAGATCATTATTTGGTGTAACAGAATATGTTGACATGCTTTAATGTTCAAAAAACACCTTGTATAGAAATACTTCTGAGGTTTAACTTCTACTTATTAGAAATAGTGTAAGCAGGCTTTACCCTCGACCTTTTATACAATTTAAAGGCAATCATAAAAGCCAGGGCAGCATGAATGCTTTTGAAAATGTATTGTTATTACCCGACCAAATCTATTTTTCTTTCTCAAACTATATCTGCTCATGTCTCTAGACATTTGGGGCTACAGACTGGGAGATGTTTCAGATTGGAAACAGAGTCTTCCTAGTTCTTGCTAATGGACACATGCTGTGTGAGAGAGGACCAAGCCTCTATACCATCAACTCAACTATATATGAACTTGATATGACAACCAAGATGTTCCTCAAGTTCCAAGACATTGTGACATACAGGTAAAGCCTGAACTATAAAGGTTTGAGAATCAATTCTCCACATCTTTTGACTTGATTTCCTCTTGAATGACAGTGCGGTGGACTGGGAATTCTTTTCGGTTGGAGATGAGCATTTCTTAGTCGTAGCCAACTCTTATGATGGATCGTCTTACTCTTTGAACAGCGTTATATACAGGTAATGATTGAAAGCTCAAACATTATACACAGATCATAACTCATGACTTAAGAGATAAGTAAACCTATAAATTTCACTTAGGTGTTCATGGTATTGCTTAATATACAACAATTTTCTGATATACAACAACTAGGCCTATATAGCCAGGATAAGACTAGGATCTGTAAATGATTTTCAATAGTTATTTTCTCAAATATTAAATGGTGGCCCATTTCCACCTTGGAATAAAAAAAAAATAATTTCTCACAGTATACATCTCACAATTTAGAAATAACAATTATCAAATAAATAAATAAATAATAAAACAAAATAAAAAATAAACAAATATCTCACATTTTTGGCTTTTCCCCTCATAATTCTGAGAAAAAATGTCCAAAAAGAAATATACAGCCAGAATTGCAAGAAGAAAAAAAAAGAATTGGGAGATAAAAAAGTTAGGGTTAGGGCCTTTTTTTTATTGTGTGAAGGAAATGGGCTTCTATAGGATATGATTACAGTATATCAGTGCTATAAACTATAAATGAATATTGAAGCAAATGAAGATAGATTTCCTTTCAGTATCATTGTTTTTGTCTCTCACAGATGGCAGGGATATGAGGGCTTTGTTCCTGTCCATTGGTTACCCACTATTGGATGCAGTGACTGGGAGTTCTTTACCTCAGCTGAGGGTTCATACCTGATGTACTCCAGTGCCAAAGCACCTCTCTCCAAAGTCTTCAAGCTGAGGATCCACTGAGGGCACAAACAATAGTTCCGTTTTTGCTTATTTTTATCATATGCCACAGAAGTTGATAGAACTGAATCGTTCTCTTCTTCTCTTGACTTGAAGTCAATCAAGCTGACAGTGGTGGATTATGGAGTTTGATACTTCCTGAAAACTACCTCAGCTGTGTAAAAAGGACTGTCAAGATGCAAGATAAACTTTCACTGGTGAATCTCACAAATGTGTCCTTAAATCACTGTTAAAATGACATTGCGGGAAAGACTATTCTGTTTCAAGAAGTCAACATCTGCACATTTGACATCCTGTGAATACAGAAAGTGAAATGAGGGCACAGATCATTTTATTTACAACACACACTTTCCATAAATAGGGTACAATCATTTGTGGAACGTGCATATAATGTTTAATTAATATTATATCCATAATGTAAAATAATGTAATAATATTATTTATATGTAAAAATGTATTTTACCTCTTGTTCTTTGCACTACAATAAATTGATCTTACTTTATAGCTGTTTTATCAGTGTTCATGTTTCACAGATTTAAATATGAACATGTATGTGTATTACATTAATTTTGTATAGGCCGTTTGTGTATAACAACAGATTTATTATATAAATATGTAATCTTTAAACTACAGAACCCATAAAGCCAAGGTACAGCCAGTTGAAGGAAATATGTAGTTCTTCTAAGATAAACAAGATTACTTGCACAAAGGAGGGCCGTTAACATGGAGAACTACAAGTACCACAATGCATAGCGGCTTGACGTGTCGGCAGTGGGCCGGTTAAACCAGCAGTGTTTTCTTATATGGTGAAAACTTCATCGGGACATCAAACCAAGAAATGTGATCTGTCAGATGATCCTGAGAAAAAGATACGATTGTCTGTTGACAGTCGAATACGAGGCTTTACTAAAATGAAAAAGAATAGTGAATGGAAGAAAGTTGTGGCGGGTCGGCACAACTATGCTGTGAATGGACCAGAGTGGGGAGAGTCTGAAATAGGAGATAGTGACGATAGTATGGATATAAGCCAAGGAAGTGTGAGAATGAAGGAAAAGAGAGGAGATGATTTAGCAGGAGTCAGGTCGAAGAAAATAAGAGGCAGTGGAGGTGTTGGAGAAGGAAACGAGGAAAGAGAGAAGGCAGATGGCGACTTCAAAATTATATTGAGATTTGCGGAGGAGAAGGGAATTTTGTCAATGAGTCCGGTAAAGTTAACAACCGTTTTAAAAAATCAGGTCGGTGATATTAATATGGCAAAGGTGTTGAGAGATGGCAATTTGTTGATTGTTTGTAGAAGCGAGGAACAGAGACAGCGGGCTGGTAGGATGAAAGAAATAGGGAGGAATAAAGTGGTGAGTGTAAATTATATTGAAAGAGGAACTAAATGGTGTAAAGGAGTGATCTGGGGAGTGCCAGTCAGCGTTACTATGGACGAAATCAAGGCAAACTTAAAGGGAGGAAGTGTGAAGGGTGTTCGGAGGCTGCAGGTAACTCGTGAGGGAGTAAGGCTAGACAGCGAGTCTATCATGGTTGAATTTGAAAAGAAAAATGGGATTAGATCAGGAAACATACATTCCTACAGTCCCTTTAACAGTAACTCCTCCATGGTTATTTCTCTCAGTATTTGTTGAGTTATATCTACTGGAAAATAGTCATCTATTTAAAGATACAGGAAATCCTTGTTATTTTATTATTAATAATGTTTTTTTTTTAATAAAAATTATTATAGTTTTTTTTTTTTATATATATAAAGTTCTGTTAGTCACTCTGGTCCACACTCCAGTATAGTAGGTGGCGGTAATGCACCTTAACGTTGGATGCCACCCGCCATAAAACAAGAAGAAGAAGAAGGCTTGACGTGTCATCAAGCAAACATGGCTGCGTCTTAAAAACATTAATGTTTTTTTTTACTCAGATTTAAATTCTTCCATTATTACTACTAACAAACTGGCCGATTCGAATGAAACAGGCGAGTTTAAAAAGATTATTTACTGAATACGTTAGCGGACTAATAAAACGAAACTAATACAGCGGCTGTCAACGAAAACATAATTGTTTTTTTTTTAAATCTCAATGGTGAAATATGGAAGCAGTGCAGTCACCGCTCAGATTTCCACGTTGCGTTTTAAGGACTGAGATTTACTCACGACACCCGTGATTCATCCAGAGGAATGACACTTAGACAAAAAGAGCATTCAGTTCTTCTCTTGGTTTAGAAAGCGATGTTTAGTCCTGTAAAATCGTCGTATTCCAGGGTGAGCCCATTGATTGTTAATCGGGAGCTGGGGAAGACCAAGATGAGATAGCAAGAGGTGAAACGCTTTCCTTTCACAGTAAACGAAACTCGGTTCACTAAAGAACAGGAGGTTTACCAATAGTAAGCTTTACAAGGCAGCCGCGGTCATGTTTGGAGATCTGTTTGAGGAGGACGGGGATGGTTTTTCTTCCTCTACACCTGGCACAGGTGTGAAGGGGAGAGAGTGTGAGCCTCCACCACCCAGAGGGAAAATCAAACTCTGCGGGATCAAGAATCAGGGTGGCACCTGTTACCTCAACTCCCTGATCCAGACTCTGCTATTCACACCAGAGGGTGGAAAAATTAGTAACGTTCATGCCCAGAAACAGACTACAAACTGTTGAAAGAACACAAGTTACACATAAATGTTATCTTAAATGATATTTAGTCATTTGTAGATTACACTTTCATGATAACATTTGCAGTTGGTTTGTAACAGGTTGTTTGGGCTCGATGCTCGGTTTCAATGAATAGATTGATCCAAACTAATGATTTGTTCAGGATTCAGTTTCAGCTTTCTGTTAGCTGCTAAGATTTCCACTAAATAACGATTCTGCCTTGTTTGTCCAACAAAGATGTTGATAAATTCAGAAGACTTGAAGGGTCATATGAATCACTTATTCTTTTCTAATTACTTTTCTGTAAGTTTGAAGCTTGACAGCCCAAGTCCTCATTCACTTTATATTGATGGAGTGGCCAAGAAAAAAGAAAACAAAGCCATACAGGGTTGGAACAACATGAGAATGACAGAATTTTCTTTTTGGACTGAATTTATTTTTTATGGTGTTATGACATAAAATCATTTCTTACAGAGGAGCTGTTCCGTCTCGGACCGGATGAATTAGGATGTTTGGCTGACGAGGACAAACCAGAGGCAAAGGTGTGTGTATGAATGTGTGTAAGTGGGAGATGAATAAAAGGCTTTATACGTTTTTATACAGACCAGATGTATAGATGTTTATGGTTCTGTATGATCTCAGGCCCGTGTGATTCCTCTGGAGCTTCAGAGACTGTTTTCTCATCTGCTGCTGGTGGATGAACAAACAGCCTCCACGACAGACCTGACCGACAGTTTTGGCTGGACGAACAACGAGGTACAAAGACTTGTGATCTATACTTACTGTCCATTTAGCAGGTACTTTTCATCTAACAGTGACTGATTGCAAAGATAATGCCTATGTAATCTGGGGTTAAATGGTTCCCCAGGGTCGCATGGGTCACTTTGGGTAATAGCATCTATGATGTAACTGAATGATCTTGCTCAAGGCAAAATCAGCAACTGTTCATTGATACTACACCTTTAAGAAATTCCCCTTTCCTCCGTCATATGTGAAATAGGAATGAGTGCTGTACTCTGGTTTGAGAAGTCAAAATGTGTGCTTGTAGACCAAACAGTGGCTTGCAAATCAAACAGTTTCCACATAAAGTGTCTGGTTAAAGTTAAACTAAAATGATCAAGCAGCTTGTTCAAATCTTTGGTCTTATGTTTTGATTTTGTCTTTAGGAAATGGGTCAGCAGGATGTGCAGGAGCTGAACCGGATCCTGTTCAGTGCTCTGGAGAGCTCTTTAGTAGGCACTTCAGGCAGCAGTCTCATACACCGGCTGTACCATGGGACACTTGTCAACCAGATCACCTGCAAGGAGTGTGGCAATATCAGTGAGAGACAGGTCAGAAAGAAGAATGTGCCCTTTTTTCCTCTACTTATTTTTGCTTCCAGCAGTCCAACTGTGACAACTTTAAATATAACCAGCACAAAAACGGCATATTTATTATTTATGATACACTGTTCAAACGTTTGGGGTATTTATTTATTCCTTTGTGTTTTTTTTTAAGAAATGAATAATTTTATTAGCAAGGACACATTAATTTGACCAAAAGTCACAGTAAAGACATTTATCATGTTACAATAGATTTCAATTCGAAATAAATGCTTTTATTTCTGTTGTCTCAGGAGGATTTTCTGGACCTGACTTTGTCAGTGCGTGGTGTGAGTGGGCTAGAGGAGGCGCTGTGGAACATGTTTGTGGAGGAGGAGATGTTTGAGGGTAATAATCTGTACCGCTGCAGCAGATGTTATCAGCTGGTTAGGGCCGCTAAGGTCAGTCACATCTCAGAACTCAAACTCTTTTTATCTAAAGAGTAAAACTGTTCATTTGTCCTTCAAGGCCTTACACAATGGAGAATTTTTGCAAAATGAGGTATACTACTGTTTAGAAGTTTATGGTCTGTAAGATTGTTTTTCCTGTTTTTGAGTTGTCTTTTATGCTTACCAAGGCTGCATTTAATTAATTTGATTGTAAAAACAGTAACATTGTGAATTATTGATACAATTTAAAATAACTTTTTTATTTGAATATATTTTAATATGTAATTTATGATGCAAAGCTGAATTTTCAGCATCATTACTCCAGTCTTCAGTGTCACATGATCCTTCAGAGATCATTCTAAGCTATTCACACCAGAGTTTAGGGGTAAGATGGGCTGAAAATAAATCAGATAATTAGTATGTCTAAAATTCACATTTTGACATTATTTACTTGGTTCTCAATAGCATTCTGGCCTCTCTAATTCATAATGAAGCTTCGAACTTTTATGAATCTTTTGTTTCGAATCAATTATTCGGAGCTAGGGAAGTCACGTGACTTTATTACGCGATGCTTCCTTATGTTATATATTTGCGAAATGTCGATGGTTCGTTTATCTGCTGAACGCATGAACCCGTGTCTAAAATTGTTAACATTTCTTGGGTGGGTTTTATAATTTAAGATCAGTTTTAATGAAAAACACAGGTGTGTGTGTGTGTGTGTGTGTGTGTGTGTGTGTGTGTGTGTGTGTGTGTGTGTGTGTGTGTGTGTGTGTGGCCTGCTTCTCTATCAAACTGGCAATCGCCTGAACCTCATCTGAAAATAGAATAACCAAAGACAATTTCCCAAAAACAGTTGGTGAAAAAAAAAAAAAAAATCTTAAAAATCAAAAATGTTTACATCACTATGTTGTACTATGAAATAATACAGAGGATATTATGAAAAGAATGGGT